ATAAGAAAATTCCTAACAGATATAGCATGGGAAACAGAGCTCAGGGTAAAGATGGCCCAAGACATGATGGACTACATCACGCAGAAGAGCAAGGACGCAGTAAACAAGTTTGTCCCAGTCCAAAAGGAAAACAGTGAAATGAAGATGAGAAACCCATGGTTTAATCAGAGATGTAGGCTAGCTAAGCAGCAAAGAAAACGGGCGTGGAGAAACTATAGGAATAACAGGACACTGGAGAGCAGAGAAAGATACCAGAATGCCAGGAATGAATATGTTAGGATGAGAAGAGAGGCAGAAAGACAATACGAAAATGACATCGCAAGCAAGGCAAAGACTCAGCCTAAATTGCTGCATAGCCACATCAGGAGAAAAACAACAGTAAAGGAACAGGTTATGAAATTAAGGATAGGGGCAGAAGGATTCACTACAAACGACAAGGAAGTGTGTGAGGAACTGAATAAGAAATTCCAAGAGGTCTTCACCTTAGAGCAAGGAGAAGTTCCAGAGATAAGAGAGGGAATAGCTAACCAGGAACCACTGGAAGAGTTTGAGATTACCAGCGGGGAAGTAAGGAAGTGTTTACTAGAGTTGGATGTGACAAAGGCTATAGGCACAGATGGAATCTCCCCATGGATACTAAAGGAAGGAGCAGAAGAACTGTGCCTCCCGCTCTCCATGGTGTATAACAAATCACTGGCAACAGGGGAACTGCCAGAAATTTGGAAAGCAGCTAACGTAGTCCCGATATACAAGAAAGGGGATAGACAGGAGGCACTGAATTACAGCCCAGTGTCCCTACATGTGAGGTCCCTGCTGGGATTACCATATACTGGCATACGGCCCATATAGTATTGTCCCATCACAGTGTTGTCCCATCACTGTGTTGTCCCATCACTGTGTTGTCCCATCACTGTGTTGTCCCATCACATGTCCCATCAGTGTTGTCCCATCACTGTGTTGTCCCATCACAGTGTTGTCCCATCACAGTGTTGTCCCATCACAGTGTTGTCCCATCACTGTGTTGTCCCATCACTGTGTTGTCCCATCACTGTGTTGTCCCATCACAGTGTTGTCCCATCACAGTGTTGTCCCATCACAGTGTTGTCCCATCACAGTGTTTTCCCATCACTGTGTTGTCCCATCACATTGTACCATCACAGTGTTGTACCATCACAGTGTTGACCCATCACTGTGTTGTCCCATCACTGTGTTGTCCCATCACAGTGTTGTCCCATCACTGTGTTGTCCCATCACTGTGTTGTCCCATCACAGTGTTGTACCATCACTGTGTTGTTCAATCACAGTGTTGACCCATCACTGTGTTGTCCCATCACAGTGTTGTCCCATCAGTTTCGACCCATCACTGTGTTGTCCCATCACAGTGTTGTCCCATCACAGTGTTGTCCCATCACAGTGTTGTCCCATCACAGTGTTGTCCCATCACAGTGTTGTCCCATCAGTGTTGTCCCATCACAGTGTTGTCCCATCACAGTGTTGTCCCATCACTGTGTTGTCCCATCACTGTGTTGTCCCATCACTGTGTTGTCCCATCACAGTGTTGTCCCATCAGTGTTGACCCATCACTGTGTTGTCCCATCACAGTGTTGTCCCATCACAATGTTGTCCCATCACTGTGTTGTCCCATCACAGTGTTGTCCCATCACAGTGTTGTCCCATCACAGTGTTGTCCCATCACAGTGTTGTCCCATCAGTGTTGACCCATCGCTGTGTTGTCCCATCACAGTGTTGTCCCATCACAGTGTTGTCCCATCACAGTGTTGTCCCATCACTGTGTTGTCCCATCCCCCCCCCTCCCACACTGAGATTTACAACAACAAACATATACTGATACAAATATACCATATAAAGGGGGAATAAAAGTTGAGTGTGAAGAGCGGGAAACATTGTAGACCAAAATAATGACCAACACGCCACAACAACCTTGGAGTGCCAGGTGAGTACCAGAGCAACGAGGAGCTGTCTGTCACTGTCTGTCAGTGACTGTGGTAGACAGTTGGGTCTGTGTGCTGCTGTAAGTCAGCTGTGTTGTGGTTGACAGTTGGGTCTGTGTGTTGCTGTAAGTCAGCTGTGTTGTGGTAGACAGTTGGGTCTGTGTGCTGCTGTAAGTCAGCTGTGTTGTGGTTGACAGTTGGGTCTGTGTGCTGCTGTAAGTCAGTTGTGTTGTGGTTGACAGTTGGGTCTGTGTGCTGCTGTAAGTCGGCTGTGTTGTGGTTGACAGTTGGGTCTGTGTGTTGCTGTAAGTCAGCTGTGTTGTGGTAGACAGTTGGGTCTGTGTGCTGCTGTAAGTCAGCTGTGTTGTGGTTGACAGTTGGGTCTGTGTGCTGCTGTAAGTCAGTTGTGTTGTGGTTGACAGTTGGGTCTGTGTGCTGCTGTAAGTCGGCTGTGTTGTGGTTGACAGTTGGGTCTGTGTGTTGCTGTAAGTCAGCTGTTGTGGTAGACAGTTGGGTCTGTGTGCTGCTGTAAGTCAGCTGTGTTGTGGTTGACAGTTGGGTCTGTGTGTTGCTGTAAGTCAGCTGTGTTGTGGTTGACAGTTGGGTCTGTGTGTTGCTGTAAGTCACCTGTGTTGTGGTTGACAGTTGGGTCTGTGTGTTGCTGTAAGTCAGCTGTGCTGTGGTATCCGAGAGTTAGATGTTATAGTGAAGTATAACACAAGGAACACCTGAGAGCAGAACAATAACAATGACTGATAAAGAGATCAGTAAGGAGGAGGATCAAGGGAGATAGCAAGAAAATAGAAACAAGAATTAAAAAGGATCTTCAAAAGCAGTTAACACGACCACATGGAATATCTTAACATCATCAGAGGCCCAAATAAAAGAGGAACAGAAATGTCAACACCATAAGAGAGGTGAAGGAGCAGGCGAGGAGTCACAATAACGTGGCTGAAGAATGTTGACCAGACCACACACTAGGAGGTGAAGGGACGACGACGTTCCGGTCCGTCCTGGACCATTCTCAAGTCGCTTGTGAAGGAGTATATAGCGTCGCTAACAAGAGCTGCAGAGGAGGAGAGAAAGGATAGTGAGAAGATGACAGGAGAGCTGGAAGCAGAGGCACCTTCATTACCAGGACAGCTACACGAGATCCCAGAAAGGAGATGGAAGACTAGAGAAGGTCATTGTGGACTTAAATGAACACCTTGACAAGACTGAGGGACTCAGAGTAGCTTCCTGGAAGGATTTGGAGGAGTTGAGGGAAATGAACCACCAGAGAGGAACATGTGCATGGTCTTCTGGCTAGGATCAAGTCGGTAGAAGAGGAGGAGAAGGCAGCAGAGGCAAGGACAAGACACTATACAAAACAGAGAATGTAACAGATAAATGGGAAGCAAGACCTGGCAAAAGTAACAAAGGGATCAGAAAGAAAACGGATTATTAAAACAACAGTAATAGATGCTGTAAGAAGCCAACAGGTTGTGAGAAGTGCGAGGCAGGAGCTAGAGACGGAGAAATCTGTGAATAATCCACAAGCTAACAGAGCCACACATGACAGAGGGAACACATGACAAAGGAGAAGAGAAGGTGACCAGAAAGATTACATGAATCCTCACGGGGAATACAGGCTCGAGAGACAACCAAGGAAATTGGACATTACTGTAGGCTTGGTAGGTTTCAAATAGGAAGAAATCGACCAGTGAAAGCAATCTTTCAGAGTAATAATGCACCAGTGAAGTATATACTGGCTGGAAAGTCACAACTGAGGGACAGAGGGACTTAATGTATGATACGTATTAGCCAAGACATGTCAAAGGAGGATAGATGTAACAAAGAAAATAAGAGAAGCAAGCAGGAAAATGCCTCACGGAGGCCAGAAATCAACAATCCAAGCAGAAAGCATTGAAAGCAGTGCACAAATATACGAAGGTCAGGCATCAATGAGCCCAGTACAACAGAATAATGGGTCAAACCGGCCTATAAAGATCCTATCCACTCCTATCCACCGCAGTGGACAGGAATGACTAAGCCAACAAATGTCCCTCACCTATCAGAGTTGGCCATGGAACAGAAATGAATCCACCTTGGGAGAAACCAAAGTAGCCGAGCAGAGATGAGCAGTATTAAGGTCATCTACACAAATGCAGATGGAATTACAAATAAGGGAGTAGAGTTGCAGGAAAGTGATGGAAGAACAACCACATATTATTGCAGTAAAAGAAACGAAACTGACGAATGTTATAGAAAATACAATCTTCCCACGAGGATATCAAGCAATAAGGAAAGATAGGGTGAGAAGGGGAGGAGGTGGTGTAGCCCAAATACTACAACTACACTTGAGTTTGAGGAAGTGAAAGTGTCGGAGGAATCAGCAAGAGAACGTAGTAGCAATACCAACATTTAGGGGCACGAAGATAGTGTCAGCGAGGATTTATATTCCCCAGCTCAACAGAAGGTCTTGGGAAGAACATGACAGATACAGTGAGACTTGCCTGAAGGTAATATTAAAAGCAGCCGTTGTGTCAAGAGGAGCGAGAGCCAGAATGCTAACGCTTGGGGGTTTCAATCACAGAGAAATAGACTGGATAAGTGAGGACTTCCGTGGAGGCGATGAGACATGGAGAGTCTCATATTACAGAACCCACAAGAGTAAGGGAAGATGACCCACCAGCGACACCAGACTTAGTCTTCACCCACAATATCCACCCATTATCAGTCTCCGTGGTGTAGTGGTAAGACACTCGCCTGGCGTTCCGCGAGCGCTTTGTCATGGGTTCGTATCCTGGCCGGGGAGGATTTACTGGGCGCAAATCCTTAACTGTAGCCTCTGTTTAACGCAACAGTAAAATGTGTACTTGGATGTAACAACAATTCTTCGCGGCAGGGGATCGTATTCCAGGGACCATAGGATTAAGGACCTGCCAGAAACGCTACGTGTACTAGTGGCTCTACAAGAATGTAACAACTCTTGTATATGTCTCAAATAAGGCAGAGAAGACAACACAGTTTGAGACGCCCCGAGGAGCACGTGACCACACCGTTATCATGCCTCAGTACATAATGGAACTAAAGGAACTGGACAGACCAAGAAACACTAAGAAATATGAGACCACAGACGAGGAGACCACAGACGAGGAGACCACAGACGTGGAGACCACAGACGAGGAGACCACAGACGAGGAGACCACAGACGAGGAGACCACAGACGTGGAGACCACAGACGAGGAGACCACAGACGAGGAGACCACAGACGAGGAGACCACAGACGAGGAGACCACAGACGAGGAGACCACAGACGAGGAGACCACAGACGAGGAGACCACAGACGTGGAGACCACAGACGAGGACACCACAGACGAGGAGACCACAGACGAGGACACCACAGACGAGGAGACCACAGACGAGGAGACCACAGACGTGGAGACCACAGACGAGGAGACCACAGACGAGGAGACCACAGACGAGGACACCACAGACGAGGAGACCACAGACGAGGAGACCACAGACGAGGAGACCACAGACGAGGACACCACAGACGAGGAGACCACAGACGAGGAGACCACAGACGAGGAGACCACAGACGAGGAGACCACAGACGAGGAGACCACAGACGAGGACACCACAGACGAGGAGACCACAGACGAGGACACCACAGACGAGGACACCACAGACGAGGAGACCACAGACGAGGACACCACAGACGAGGAGACCACAGGCGAGAGACCACAGACGAGGAGACCACAGACGAGGAGACCACAGACGAGGACACCACAGACGAGGAGACCACAGACGAGGAGACCACAGACGAGGACACCACAGACGAGGAGACCACAGACGAGGAGACCACAGACGAGGAGACCACAGACGAGGAGACCACAGACGAGGAGACCACAGGCGAGGAGACCACAGACGAGGAGACCACAGACGAGGACACCACAGACGAGGAGACCACAGACGAGGAGACCACAGGCGAGGAGACCACAGACGAGGACACCACAGAAGAGGAGACCACAGACGAGGACACCACAGACGAGGAGACCACAGACGAGGAGACCACAGACGTGGAGACCACAGACGAGGAGACTACAGACGAGGAGACCACAGACGTGGAGACCACAGACGAGGAGACCACAGACGAGGAGACCACAGACGAGGAGACCACAGACGAGGAGACCACAGACGAGGAGACCACAGACGTGGAGACCACAGACGAGGACACGACAGACGAGGAGACCACAGACGAGGACACCACAGACGAGGAGACCACAGACGAGGAGACCACAGACGAGGAGACCACAGACGTGGAGACCACAGACGAGGACACCACAGACGAGGAGACCACAGACGAGGAGACCACAGACGAGGAGACCACAGACGAGGAGACCACAGACAGGAGACCACAGACGTGGAGACCACAGACGAGGAGACCACAGACGAGGACACCACAGACGAGGACACCACAGACGAGGACACCACAGACGAGGAGACCACAGACGAGGACACCACAGACGAGGAGACCACAGGCGAGGAGACCACAGACGAGGACACCACAGACGAGAGACCACAGACGAGACCACAGACGAGGAGACCACAGACGAGGACACCACAGACGAGGACACCACAGACGAGGAGACCACAGACGAGGACACCACAGACGAGGAGACCACAGACGAGGAGACCACAGACGAGGAGACCACAGGCGAGAGACACAGACGAGAGACCACAGACGAGGAGACCACAGGCGAGGACACCACAGACGAGGAGACCACAGACGAGGAGACCACAGACGAGGACACCACAGACGAGGACACCACAGACGAGGACACCACAGACGAGGACACCACAGACGAGGACACCACAGACGAGGACACCACAGACGAGGAGACCACAGACGAGGAGACCACAGACGAGGACACCACAGTAAGGTGAGGGATTTCCTAAGTCCAGTGTTGGGGGGGGGGGACTGGAAGGGAAGACAACACCTCACATGACGGAAGTTATTGATCAGAAATGTCATCACACTCATGAAGGAGGCGCGTTGAAAAGGTACAGTAAACCCCTTATCTTGAGGTTATCTTGAGGTTATCTTGAGATGATTTCGGGGCTTTAGTGTCCCCGCGGCCCGGTCCTCGACCAGGCCTCCACCCCCAAGAAGCAACCCGTGGCAACTGACTAACACCCAGGTACCTATTTTACTGCTAGGTAACAAGAGGCATAGGGTGATAGAAACTCTGCCCATTGTTTCACGCCGGCACCTGGGATTGAACCCAGGACCACAGGATCACAAGTCCCGCGTGCTGTCCGCTTGAGATGAGATGATGAGATGAGATGATTTCGGGGCTTTAGTGTCCCCGCGGCCCGGTCCTCGACCAGGCCTCCACCAGGCCGCTCGGCCGACCGGCGCCGGTTTAGTGGGCTGTGTAGAGCAGAGGAACAAAGAAACATGTACACAAGAGAGCTGGGAGGGACCACGGGAACACACACACACTAATGAAGAGCAAGGTCAACTATCAGGGGAAAGCGCCAAGACAATACAACTATATAGCACTGGGAAGGGGTCAGGATAAGGATTTGGGATGGGACGGGGGGAAGGAATGGTGCCCAACCACTTTGACGGTCGGGGGATTGAACGCCGACCTGCATGAAGCTAGACCGTCGCTCTACCGTCCAGAGGCAATTTGAAAACGACATAGCAACAAAAGCTAAGAACCAGAGAGACAGACCAAAGCTCTTTTATAGCCATAGAAGGAGAAAAAATAACAGAGACCATGTGATATGGCTAATAGGCAAGGGTAAGTCTTACAGAAATGACAAAGAGGTGTGTGAGGAAGGTGAACGAACCAGACATCAGAAAATGGGCGAAACGACGACCTTTCGGTCCGTCGTGGACCATTATCATGTTGTGTGTGAGGGGAGAGAGAGAGAGAGAGAGAGAGAGAGAGAGAGAGAGAGAGAGAGAGAGAGAGAGAGAGAGAGAGAGAGAGAGAGAGA